GAAGAATCGCCTGGTTGTACAGGCCCGACGCTCGCCGTTCGATCTGCAAATGCAGAGAGCTAGCAACGCCGGCATATATATTGTCACAGAACTATGAACTAAAAGAGCACATACAAAACTGCCCAGTAAACCGTAGGCAGAGAGGGAGAAGAGGACAACAAACGAGGGGCTGTGACAAACTGTTTCGGCGGAGTTTCACCAACTCATCATGAGGCTGAACCCTCAACAGTGTGCAGAATCCCCTAACTGATTACACTGTAAGCGATAATCCACCTTAACCCCGACTGTAGAGTGTTGTGTAGTGGAGGCCCCGGGCCTGGGAACTGTAGGCTTTGACCCGGCACTTGATGACAAGAAAAATAAAGAGTGCAGGGGCCATTGGAGTGGTGGTTTAAAGCACCTAGAAAACTCTACAGTTTTTCTCTGAGTTTTTCTCTTCTTTTCTTTTCTTTTTTCTCCTAGGGGTTGAGAGGGGGAGGGGGGAGGGGGGAGGGAGTCTAGAATCTCTATGACGGTCCTGGAGAACTCTGTTTGTGGTTGCACAAGGCAGTTAAACCACCAGTACTTCCATATTTTTAGGCCATTAACGTGGTGGTTGAATCGGTGTGTCGTGCGGGTCCATATGCATTTGCGTCAGAGCCTCCCCAGAGGGGGCCTAAGACCCCCTAGGGTACTGGTGGTTTAAATCCATAGGCCAGACTACTAAAGTGGCTTGTATCTTGTGGCTATGTGGTTAGGGCACCGGTTGTGGTCGGAGGTTGCGGGTTCAAAACTCCACACCCACACGAAGGGTCACAGGCGGGCCTTCACACAACGCACAACCATTTGCACACCCCCCTTGGGTTGACGCATGGTAAGGATTACAGACACTGCCTGCGCACCACCCAAGGGTTTAGTCCATGGTTGTTGTATGTTGGGTCTAGGCTATGAGAGGTTTGCCTGACGTTCTTGTTCCATGGGGTTGTCCGGGAGATTGCGGGGTTCAATACCTGATAAACGAAGAAAATTTAAAAATTGTGGCGATGCTAACAGGGTTGTGAGAGATTGGTCACGAAGAATTGGTTACCTTAGGGCCCTGCTTTGGGGGGACATGGGCTATGGATGGGATTCAATCGGGGACTCCACTGGGGGGAAGGGTAGGTAGAACTAGACTCTGTTGGAGGATATCAGTGGGGAACCTGCAGTAGGGGATGTCTTAGGGGTCCCCTTGGTAGGAGTAGAGTTGGATATGCTCCAGTGTAGGATATCGTTGGGGAACCTGTAGTAGAGGCTGTCTCAGGGGGTGAGGGTCGTCTGCTACCTGCATAGAGAACACGGCAATATTAGAATAATCCAGAGCAGCTCTAGTTGATGATAGAGGTGGGAGAGCGGACGTTGGCCGTCAACCCACTGAGGACGGAAACTAGAGGTACTTTGGAGGAAGCTAATAAAGGACTAGAGGCCCAGTTGATGATAGAGAGGTAAGGGGAGCGGATGGTGGCCGTGAGCCTGCTGAGGACAGAAATTGGAAATGCTCTACGTAAGAACAACCCCCAAATAAGAAAGGGTTCAGGAACATAGAATTCAATATTATAATAACTCGAGGTATCTGGTGATGATAAGGCTAGGATCTCTCAAACAAGGAAAAATGGGTTCACCTATGTGACTTGTAGTAGAATGTCTAACCCTAGCGCTCGAAGTTCCCATACGACAGGGCTCGTCCAACTATGCTTCAATCAGGGCTGGGAAGGGAGGTGAGGACCTGCTTAGCCCTGATTCCTATAACCGCTGACTGGTCAGGTCAGCAGAAAAGGGTGATGATCCTGGATGGTAAAAACACTAAGGCTGGACCTTGCGAGTAGGGATACGCCGGGAACAGTAATGATCCCTACTTCAGGGCTTCAGGCCCCGTCGCGCACGCAAATTGTATTGAACCTCCCCACATAGTGGCGATCCAACTAAATATCTTGATTCCAGTTGACACTGCTATAATCATGGTTGCTGCGGTGAAATACAGCCTTGAACCGCCACCCTCTGCCACAGGAACCAAGTCTCTTAAGCACTACAGCCAGGACACGGTGTTCTAAAAGTCGAACCATACCAGTCGTGATATCCACCCCACCCCTGCAAGGTTGCAGAGGGGGGGTACTCGCACACACCATACACAACACCACACAGACACGACAATCAACGCACACTTCGTTCCGTCGAGCACGCGACCACACCACTGCTACTTTACCCAGTCACTTGCTCGAACCCTTATCTTCTTCGGGTGCCACGAACGCCTTTCACAGTAGTATTCTGATCCATACTTCAGGGCTTCAGGCCCCACCGCGCACGCATGGCCTCAAACTGGCACCCATGCCACAAGAATTAAGTCTCTTAACCACTACAGAGAGGACACGGTGTTCTAAAAAGTCGAACCATACTGGTCGTGATATCCACCCCACCCCTGCAAGGCTGTAGTAGGGCCGATACAGCCTGATGAGGGTTTGTGCTTTTCATTTTTTTTTTTTTTTTTTTTGGTTTCTACATATGCGAAGTTCTTCGCATCCTTTTCTTTGACAGTGCCTTTTTTGTTGTCTCACGAGGGCAGCCTTTTACATGCGAGGGATAGTAAACGAGGAGTTGTTGCCCCAAAGAAACCCCAGCTAAACACAGTTCTCAATGGTTCTATTCTGATTCATGTCGCTTGCTGAAATGGTGAAATTCTTTAATTGTAGGGATGGCTCAACTCGAATCTACCCGTCTGGGTGGAATAGGGGCTGTTGTGGTGGAATGTTTTAAAACACACAGACAGCGGAGGGGGGGAAGAAGCGGACAATCTGCACCTGTGCGAGCGCACGAGCTGCAGTTCAGCGGAGCCTTGAGTATCGCACCCGAGCGGTTGTTGCACGCGGTGTGCGCTCATCAGCAATTCGCACAGGGCACCACGCGCACCACACAGATGCACCGCAAATATGCTCAGAACTACTCAGACGCAGCTATCTTAGACGGCCATGGTCCAGATTCCGCGTCCACCATAGCCACGGAAAATTAAAAGAAAAAATTGAAAAAGGAAAAATAATAAATTAAAAAAAACTTGGAAAAAGAGGGTATGAAAAAGAAACATGCAGTGCACCCACCAAAAAAAAAAAAAAAATCCATACCATGATCCCTTGCGCGAGCTTGTACTCATTTATTAGCACATGGTTGATAGGTGAAGGAAACAGTCCGAGCTCTCTTCGAAGTCTCTCTGTCAATGCTTTGAGCCATTGGGGCACTGCCATTACAACAGCATTTCACAATCACAACACACACGTACACGTACACAAAACACATACAGATACAGACACACTTGCAAACACACACAGAATCATATTGCTGACATATTATTTAATATCTATTACTAATTTATTATCTATAACACACACACAGGCACAAATGCACACACATACACTCAAAACAGTCTGGCACAAACCGTGCTTTTCTTTGCGGAGTTGTGTACAGCGAACATGACAAAACACACGCACACGCACACACACACACACACACACAAGCATAATAGCATATTATTATTATCAATAACTTCTTCCTGTTCTTCTATAGGTGTTTGCTTTTTATGTTGTTGTTCATTTCCTTCATGTTTTCACAGTTTCACCAGACTATGCACATTTTGCAAGAAAATTTTAAGCACCACCTGCGCTCGGATTGGTTTTCATTTTGTCTTGTCTTTCATATCGTGTGATGCTTGTCGTCTCATGCTGTGCCTCGTCCAATTTAGCACTCGTTCAACCTCTAACAGTACCCATATGATTTGCCAATCAGTCAGTGTGTGTCTGTATGAATTGCCTGCAACACTATTGGGGCGGCGGCTGTGTTCTCTTGGGGATACCTGTGCCTCTGATGTTTTCTGACGGTGACCGACAGTCATGTTGGGGTGTCCTTGCTCTTGACAGTGGCGTAAACCCACAGTCCCGCAAGTAAGTGATGGTCCGCTTCGATCCTTTCTGCAGCCATAAGCTTTCTGTGTTGCTGAGTGCCTTGCCGTGTTGAGGTCCCGACACACGCTCGCCCACCGACCCGCCCACCCACGAGCCCTCCCACCCGCTCGACCATCCACCTTGAGTAGGTGATGGTCCACTTTGATTCTCTCTGAGTCCATTGGGTTTCGTGTGCTGCTGCACGCCTTTCTGTGTTGGGGTCCCAACCCGCTCGCCCGCCCCCCCCCCCGGCCATGCCCCCGCGTGTGCTCCCCCCCGCCCGCCTCGCCACCTGCCTGCCCATCTGCTTGCCCGCCCGCTCTGTAGAGTTGCTCTACTACTCCATGCAGCTGATACTTTGTCAGGCCTCTCGTCTTCTCCCGAATGAAACGCACGGTCATTGTCCCTGTATCTAGACTAAACGTTGCCCCAAGTACGGGCATAATGACCGAACGTTCTATTCCGGGAACATTTTCGAACAAGGTTCTAAGACCCTAAGATGGTAGAATTTTAGAGCAATCCACGTACAGCTTCTCCTCAGAAAGAGAAAGCCAGACTGCGGTCTCGTCATCCTTGTTTTCCTTCGTTTTCGATGGACAATTTCTAGGTATCTGCTGTCATCATTACCCATAGATTTGCCTAAACCCAAAACCCTCATCCCTACACCCACAGGATTTTGAACACAGATGTGTATGCAACCATGACCATTTCTAGACATGGGTGTGTGTGTAGCCATGACCCTAGATTCATTCGAGGGGCGGAGGGTTTACGGTTTAGGGGTCATGGCTAATCTTCTCTCTATCGTTCCAGTTTTTAATGAATGTCTCGAAGGGACTGTCTCTCATTATTCTGACATCACATACGTACTACGTGCAAAGGTTAAGCGAGCCATCCCCTAAGCCCCAAACCCTAAGCCCTAGACCACAAAACCCTAAACCCAAAGCCCTAACCCCTAACCCCTCAAATCCAACCCCTCAAATGCCCACAACCCTAAGCCCTAAGCCCTAGACAGTAACCCCAGACCCAAAACCCTAAGTCTAAAGCCCTAAGCCCAGAACCCCGAACCCTGAACACGGAACCCTGACCCCTAAACCCAGAACTCTAAAACCTAAACCAGATCCCTAAACCCTAAACCCTAAATCAAATTCATGGTTACGTTGGACCTGGACACCAGACCAATCCAGACGTCCAGCCGGACTTGTGTCTGGACTGCTCCAGACTGTCCAAATTGAAACAACCCCCCCCCTCCCCCCCCCCACCAAAAAATAAAAAGTTAAAAAAACATTTTTATGTCCAGTTGATGTGGCTCAGTGTTAGAGCATCGGTTGGAAATGCGCATTGTGGTATGAGGTTGCAGGTTCAAAACTCAATTGCAACCTTGCGCATGGACACCGGCAGGGCGTTAGATTGACGCACGGCCGGACACACTCCCTTGGGCTGACGCATAGTACTATTACAGACTGCCTGCGCACCACCCAAGGGTTGTTCATGGTGTTGTATGTTGGTTCTGGGCTTCACATGGGTTGCTTGGGGGTGTTGGTCTTGGGTGTTCTGTTGATCTCCCCAGTCTGGCATATCACACGTTCGTGCCATTTCCACTAGCCGTTCACATGGTAGAGTCACACAATTACATGTTTCAAGGTCACGGGTTCGAGCTTGGCTCGGATCTTGTGGGGGTCCTTGTCCAGCTTACCCCGTTCTCTCTTCGATATACACACATGATGCTGCCTATATACATCTCGATACATTGATTCACAGAGCACACACAGCCTTCGGGCATATACATAGCTTGCGAATTATACATGGCCTACGGGCTACATACACCAGTTTCCACACATAGTGCTGTCTGTACATCTTCATACATAGATACACGAAGCATACACAACCTTCGGGTATACACATACATTTCGAACTACACAACTATAGTCACTGGGTGGGGTCTAGTATCTGCGGTAGGGACAGGTATGGGCCACCGGAGTTCCTACTGATATTCGGGTAGCCCTGTCTAGTAGCTATATATAAGGCTTAGAACCTGGGGTAAGGGTAGGGTTATAAGTCGCTCAGGCCAGTCCGAGTTCTGCCTGGCCTTGGGTAAGCTAGGGGAAGGACGGTAAGACTCCTTCAATGGGTGCTCCCCTGTCTGAAACCTAGGGCCCAGATTCTCTTGGGGCCTGTAGTAGATTGTCAGGGCCTGGCGTCCGAAGTTCCCGTTCGACAAGGCTCGTCCAATTCCGCTTCCACCAGGGCTGGGCAACCTATCAGCCCTGGTGCCTATCACTGCTGTTCAGTCCAAGTTACCTGCCCATTGGTAGGGTAATGGTCCTGAGTGCTGGTCACACTGAGGTAGGATAGTGGGATACGGGGTGCGCTAGGAGTACTGACGTGAGGATGGGATCGGAGGTGGTCTCATATTCCAGGACACCCACGGCCTACTGCTCCAGGTGATTGATGTGTACACAGTGACTGGCCTCTACAACACCATGGACTTGAAAGAAAAAGAAAAAAAAAAACATTTTTATTACTTATTGTTCTTTTCCTTCCATTTGGCTGCGGATTTCTGAAAAAAGGGTGACAGCCTTGAGATATCATCATCGAACTGACCAGCCCTACGTAACTCAGAATTATATTATTTAAATTTATTTTACTCATCTTCTTTGAATGGAGTTCGAACTCAGGTCTGTATTTGAAATTCGAATTTAAACAGTTAAGGGGTGTACCAACTGAGCTACCGTCTTCACCCGAATGCAACGCCCGGTCATTATGGCTGGACATGGGGCAACTTTCAGTCCAGATACAGCTATAATTACCGGGCGTTGTATTCCGCTGAAGACGGTAGTAGCCCAGTTGGCTGCGGATCTTGAGATGGTCCTCGGCCAAAATATGTTTGTATTGCAATGCCGCATAACCATGGTAACCGCCCGGACGTCCGGACCGGGTTCCAGACAGTCCGGTGTCCGGTGTCCGGTGTCTGATGTCCGGTGTCCGGTCCCCATGTCTGGATGGAGGCACCTGGGGCAAAAATTAAAAAAAAAGAAGGGGCGGCCCAGGACGTTTGTCGGGTCCTAGCCGCCCCTCGAAAAATAACTGGGTGATTTTTAAGTGTCCTTCCACCCCACCGGACATGGCCTAGAGGTCCAGACACAAGACACTGCAGGTTTTTGAGGTGGCGGGTTTCGCACAGGCCCGAGCAATTTCAAAGTGGCCGTTTCGACG